TTGCCTAAAAACACATTGCTGCTTACTTAGATTAAGTTTTTAATAATTGTGAATAATTTAATTTTAAAGAAGGAATGCATAGTTTTCAGGGCCAGCACTTCCCCAAATTTGGCACTGTCCCATGGTGAAGTATACTGTCCTTTGTGTTTGCTGTGGTGAGCTTCTTCCTTATTTCAGTAGCAGGAGAAGACTTTCTTGCTGAACATTATTGAAAAAGAAGAGCGAGAAAAGTTTATCACATACCTATACTACCAGGCCTCATACAAAGGTCTGTCATGGCTGAGCCACTTTTAGAGGAACAGGCACCCGCTGTGGATTTCTCACTGTATGACTTCCCTTCCAAGATTTGCAGGGGCTAGGACCACTTTCTCAAACATGTAGAAAGTCAAGATAGGAATCTCGCATCTGTTAGTTTCCTTATTTTTACTCATCTCTTTTAGTTGACAAGGATGAATGCATAACTTAAAAAAAGTAAATGCTAGAATTTCAGGGACTGTCTGTTTTCTCACAGTCTTATATCATACTCATTCATGGATGTGGCTTTTTTCATCCATAACTTCATATTTAAGTTACATCTGCTATTTTTCTCAGGTATTTTCAAAAGACTGAGCTCTGATCTATCATGAGGAATGGGTTCAAAGGCTGTGTATCATTTTAATTTTTATCTGCATCCTGGGGAAGCCTGAATCATCAGTTAGAAAAACTTAAGTTCAACCAAAATTCTCCTGCAGACACCAGTTGCTTTGACTCCTACCTACAGTTAAGAGAAAGAAATATTACTATATACTTTAGGGAGTTGGATAGTGTTCATATGCACTTGACACTAATAGTGCTAGAAAGAATTTTAAGCTGGCTACAAGCACATGCTGAATTTCAGACATGAAATTTGACAATAGATTAAAATAAGACTGGACTCTCAAGAATGACTCCTCCCTTTGTATACCCACTTACTCCCTTTGAATAGATTTAGGTTGTTAGCGTAATGAGTGAAGCTTGGTATTCAGGGCAGGGCGTTCCATTTTCACCTTCCAGTCCATAGTTATTCTTTATTTTCCATATCTTCAAAATACCTCTTGTGTTAGGCAATTTCAGAAGTTCCTATGTGTCATGTAGGAGAGCAAGTAAAGTACTCTAGAATTGGATAAAGCAGCTTGTGACCTGGAGGGGCTGGTTGAAGGGGGGCAGGGGGAAGATGGGGAAGAGATTTTGCTTTTAGATTTCAGCTGATAGGTCTAATATTTTCTGTCACAAATTCAGGAGGTAATGGTTTTTTCAAACAGCCCTCCATTCAGTTTTAGACTGATTTATGACTGCCAGCATTAGGAGCACATACTGCCATTTTAGTATCTAGCATGTGTGATTCCAGTGGGGCAAATCACTAGCAACATGCTACTTTTCCACTTGGTGTCTCTAGCTGGGGAAATGAAATAACCATAGCTCTGGAAAAGTAGAAAATTAATTTCATGGATGTTGCAGTCATGGACAAAAAAATCCTTTCAAGCTGTTTTTTTATCAGTCTCCTTGGTAACCTCTCTAGTGCTTCACAGGGTCAAACTCTCTTCTTCCTAAGACTATTCAAATAAATCTTCTCATAATAAATGTTAATCTTGTATCCTGTGGCTGAACTGAGACTACACCAAATGTTTCAGAATGGATTCTTCTTTGATATGCTAGATGTGAGGACTACCACTGTTTTTTTAAGTGAAAGCTTAGTGCATGTCTCCAGGAGAAGGCACTGCAAAATAATATAGCGATAGCTATTCTGCATGAGCTCCTTCACATAGACACATAGTGCATTTTGTATTATGAGAGCTTTTTTTCTGCATAGCTTAATCTGTATCACTCTTAGCCTGACATAAAAGGGTTTACACACAAAGTTATGGAATTATTTCCTCCATGCATACAAGCCTTCTGTACAGAGAGACACTATAAGCACTTTCTACTACATGGAAACTCAGAAGCCTGGATTTAGCAATGGATCCAATGTTTGATTACCATTATTAAAAACCAGCATTACATACATCAGGGCCTGAATTTTATGACAAGATGATAGCTATTAGAATTCTCAAAAAAACACCCCCAAACAACCAAAACCATCAAAAATCCAGTATTAACAATTAACAAAACTAAAGACTGGGAAAAATTTTCTAAAGGGTAAAGTGACTGAAACTAGATTCTGGCTAGTGCATGACATCTGAAGGCTGGATAATAGAGAAATCAAATATTAGCTGCAGCATTTGTGCAAGGCTCCTGTTTTCAGAGAACTTTTGTCATCCTTACATACACAGATAAGTGTTTCAAACTTAGTTCTAGTGCATTCTGCTGAGTGAGTGGGACAAACCAGGCTATGTTTTGAACGATAGCTTTCATTCATCTGGCTGGTGCTTTGGTTAGCATGGATTCTGAATTCCTTTCTACACAAGCTTCTTGCTTGAGGAAAACAGGTAGTAGAAAACAAAGAGGCAAAGCATACAGAAAGAAATGGATTTGTAGTTTTTTTTCCACTGTAATCCTTTCAATCTGCATTTTTTTCTTGTCTCAGGCAAATTATTTCTCCTTATCCTGATTCCGTACGTAATTTAAAGGGCTAGAGATAGGTTAGAATAACAGAAAGTATCAAGATAAGAAGGTATTCTGCAAGCTGAGGTGTACTCCTTAGGTTTCTTTATATGGTACCTGTATGTAACCTGAGGAGGAACTTACCTTGGAGGATGATAGTCTAAAGCACTTACATGTCTCCACTAATTGTAGAGGCTCCCATTCATACTTGAATTTGTAGGCCTTTTTCTCTTCTTTCCTCTGCAGAAAATGGAAATTGTTGGTAGGATTTAATTTTGGTTACATTCTTGGAAAGGAAATGTACATTTTTCTTATCTATGGATCCATGGCCTGCTTCTCTTTCTGCTTTTTCCTGTTCTCAACTTTCCTTTCTGGTCTCTTCCCTTGTGTCCCATATTTAATGTTGTTTTTGTTTAACACATTTGATTTCCTGATAATATTAGACAAATTTAGTCCTTGTGTTCTGATTAGTAACTTCTGAAGCTCTAACCAAGTTCAAACAAACTTGACAGTCTCAAAGAAAAGCAAGTTTCAACAACCTTCCTGGTAAGGCAGCAGTAGGGGAATGAGGCCTAAATCTTCCTTGATTTGTTGGACTTGAGCTTTCATCTGTTCCAGCTATGCAAGCATCCCTATGAAGATATCTCCTACCCATATAGTGTGAGCTATGAACATCAGTGTTAATGGTCTGGATCCACATCCTTTGTTTTGACACTTTCCTGTGTTAAAGGAAAAGTTGTGGAGATTTACCATGGTACAAAAATCTCATGTAAATCTTGTGCCCATTCTTTCCTGGTAACTGGTGGCAAGCCTTTATGTAGCTGCCTTGCTGATTCAATCTTGTTTAAGTGCTATAAACTCTCAAGAGCTGTGCTGCTTTTGTAGTCTGTCTCTGAAAAAATCCTGTGATAACTACAGCAGTTGGTTGCATAGAAGAGGTTAAGAAACATAGCCTATTTCTTGTTTTGTTTGTTTATTTTCTTAAGCTATTTTTGTCCTTTCCATTAATTTTATCTTGTATAGTGTGCAGTATATCTCTCTACTTCTTCTTCCGGTGGGTGCGTACTTTCCTCATTCATCAAATACCCTCTTTCACTGTATAAGTACAAATACACACATACATATACACTGCTGTCTTGTTGCCTGTGATGGTTCCGTTTGCTGTTTTGTTGGAGGCTGATTTTGTCTCCTTCAAGAATAGCATCTCATAGTAATAGAAGGAAAGTTGGCTCAGGACACTTCTTAGTGTCCTTAGACTCGTCAGGTGACTGTCAGTGTTGGGGAGATGAAACAGAGCCAATTTGCAAATTACCTGGGTGCACCCTTAGGAATCACTATTGTTCCCTGACCTTAATGTCTCTGGACAGTTATTAAGGCTGGGATGTGCAGTGTTCACCTGAGTCCTGCACAGCAGCAGAAACTAGTTTTCCTGCTTACAAACACAGTGACTTAAAGTAAGATTGTAAAAAGCCAAGGAATTACTCGTTTTCATTTGCACATTTTAGACCAGTTTTAAGCAGCATTTGTTCTTAGTTTTCCCATTAGTATATGTATGATATATAACAACAGCTATATACATACAATGTATGTGATGCATACATATTACATATATACATATGTATATATATATTTATATCTAAATTGCTAATTTTGGCCACAGATCTCTCCTGATATATTTTGGGGCTAAGGATAAGATTCAGTAGGTATTCTAAGTAGTTTCTTTTGAGTTTGCACGCCCCCAACCCCCTCCTCGCGTAGTTGGTCCTGTTCCCTCTTTAAACGTGAAACTGGGAACTTCTGAGGTCTGCTCAGCACTCAGCTAAATGACGTAGAAATGCATCAGGCAGTAACGCAGGTACCACGTTCCTGACTCCTGGATCTGCCTTCGAGCCAGCGCTTCTCCTCTGAGGGCGGGCAGCACCCCCCGCGCTCGCTGACGGGCGCTGTCCCAGGGGGCCAGGCTAGGCCGGGCCCGGGGCGCCGCTTCTGTCGCGTCTGCTGGAGGTTTTTGTCTGTTCTTGGGTGGGTGGCGTGGGCGTTCCGTTTCGCACCGGCCGGGATTGAGGGGCTCGCTTTCTGTCGCCCGCAGGCTCCTGGCGGTGTGGGACGCACCGGGGAAAGGCGGACGGCGGTGTCGGCGGCCCCGGGGCGGCCCGGGCGAGCGGAGGCGTGCCCGGCGCTAGGACCCAGCAGGACGCGAGGCGGCTCTTCGGGCCGGATCACGAAATCGCCGTGACTCAGTCTCTGCTCGGCGCGGAGACTGCGGGAGCAAGTCGGTGTCCTTCGGCCGGCGGCTGTTGGGACACTTGAAGGGGTAAGGCCTGAGCGGGCCGGGCATCGCCCGCCCCCTTCCTGGCCCGGCCTTCCTTCCTCTCCGCCCGCCCCTTCCCGGGCCCTGCCGCGCCGCCAACCGCGGCCGCTTGTTGTCTGCTGTTTTCCAGACAGTCAAGATGGAGTACGAGTGGAAGCCCGACGAGCAGGGTCTCCAGCAAATCCTCCAGCTGCTAAAGGAGTCTCAGTCCCCGGACACCACCACGCAGAGAGCCGTGCAACAAGTATCCTTGTCCGAGATTTGCGGGGCCGCGGGGGCCGGGGGCGGCCGCGGCCGGGCGGGGGGAGCGCGGCCTGCGCGGCCGCAGGGCCGGCGCTGCGGCGGCCGGGCCAGGCCTGCCCTGCCCTGCACTGCCCGGGGAGCCGCCGCGGCGCGGCGTTTGAACTGCCGAGGCGGCTTGAGGGCCGCGGGGCTGCCTTCCCCGGCGAGCACCGGGCACCTGTTGCGAGCCCGGAGCCATAGGCCGGTCTGGGTTTGGCCGCTGGGGGAGCATTTTAAATTTCCCCCGCCCCCCCCTATTTTCAAAGGCCAGGCTGTGGCGCGGCTCTGCCGGTATCCGCTGCTCTCCCGGGTTGCCCAGGCTGGGCCGCCGCCAGCGCCCAGCCCCCAGCGCGGCGGGCGGGAACGCGGCCCTCGCCCTTGTGGCCCCCCGGGGGGCCGGGGTTGCGCCGTGCGCGGTGCCCGCACCCTCGCGGCACGGGGGGCGGGCAGGGGCCTCCCCAGGGAATCCGGTGCTGGAATTTTAGGCGAAAGCCGTAGCTGGCGGAGCCTCTGCTTGCGCGCCCTCGTGGGCCTACTGGCTCTGACACTGCGCATTTTGGTACGTGGTGAGGATGTTTCTGCTTGCCTAGAAGCCTGATCCTGAAATACTGCTGCTCATTGCAGTCGTTAAAATTCACGAAAAGGGGGAGATCTACTCATTGTAGCTTCTTGTGCTACTTTGCAGTGCATTTGGTGTCAGTGTTGTGAATTGTTGAGATTTTTTACCCCTCTTTTCCGCCTTTCCCCCCCCCCCCCCCGGTCTCTCTTGATTGTAAAAGTTATGAATAGATTTTATGAAGCAAGGATTGAGAAAGCAAAATTTTAAATTAAGACTAATAGGTCTTAAAAAGGTATTAAAAAAATGCAGGCCTCGTTTATTGTCTCCTGCTCCTTGGGCTAGCCATATAAGTGCTTGGAAATATCTAAAAGTGCTGAAATTCTATGAGGCATATATGAGTTTATCATCTTGATCCCAATTTATTTAAAGCATTTGCTTAAAGGGCTTCACAGAAAGCAACAGAATTAATTTAAGTTGGTAAGAACATATGTGTGTCTATATATATTTACATTATTGTAAAAGTTTAGCTTGAATCCAAATTTGCTCGACTTCTAGACTTTTGTAGTGAGTACAGTCAGGCTTAGGAAGGTTTCCTCTTACTTGAACGGTGAAGGTAGATTTCATCTCGAATGTCTTGTCTTTCAGCTATGTTTCAGGTTTTTGAAACACAGTTGCCTCCTTTGAAATATCCTAAATAGAAGAGTCTAATGGAGTGTTCCCGTAATGCCTCAAACTTAACCTGGTGCTCTTTAGTACTTGCAATACCTAAGTGTTACAGTGTTACTAGTGTAGCTTTAGTGCAAAATTACATCTTAAAGCTCTGCTTCAAATAACTTAGAAGCATCTAGTTTGTTTATTGAAATATAGCAGTCTTTATTCGGGATGGGCAGTATAAGTGGTGCTGTCTGTCTAGAAGTGGGGTAAGAAATTGACTGAATTGTTAATGTTAACTGTTCTGTTAACTGGTGTTTGAAATTCTTTTTAAATGGTAGTGGAAACTCCCTGCTGTGTTGATACCTGTGTTTTCCGGGGGTAGTAGCATGTGCAAGCAGGGTGGTGAATAATGTTTTCAAATTTAAAGTACTCTCAGTCCGTAATTTTTGTAAAAAAAAAAAGAAAAAAAACAACTCTGTGTGTTGGTTCTGTCACGCTCTTTCTTTATGATGATGTTTTGGCACATTTGGATGCTTAGATCTCAAATATAACAGAGTGGGGAGTATAGGTTAGCCAAAACCCAGTGTTAGCAAAGTTATGAATTGATAAGGCAGAGATATTTTTCCAACCAAGATATTGTTTTTTGATTTAAGAAAAAAAAAAAAAAAGTTGGAGTGAGTGAAGAAGTTGTTAAGAAAATATAGTTTACGAGCTAGTCTTCATTTCCTAGACCAAGTAAGTGTTTTCTTACTAAGTTTCTGTTAAGTATTGCTCTTTCAGGTTTTTTTGCTCATTTCTGATATTTTTTGATCCATTAGAGTTCACAGTTGTTAGTAATGTTCAACTGCCTGTTTTGGTGATACAGCTTTACAAATATTTTTAAGGATCTGTTAATTTCTCTGTCTGTCCCTGGATTTTTTAAGACTTCTCCATGAAAGCTACTGCATCAGCAAGAAAACTACAGAAACGGTTTTTAGATTGTTCATTCTCTGTATATCGTGGTCTTATAGTCACAGCTGGTTGAAGTGATGTAGCAATACATAACTCACTTAATAATCTCTGTATCCAGAAAGCTATAAATACTCTGTGTGAAGTTTCAAATTTCCTTAACAGTTTCTCTCTTTAGAAACTAGAACAACTCAATCAGTATCCAGATTTCAACAACTACCTGATTTTTGTTCTCACGAAGTTGAAGTCTGAAGGTAAGTTCTTGAGATAGTGTTTTATTTTACTTTTTTTTTTCCTTTTTTTAGATTTATGTTATTTAACTTTAAAGAAATAAAAAGCTGGTGCCTCTAGGCAGTTTTCTGGTCAGTTGAATCATGTAATCATGAATTCATTTATCCTCTCAGGAGGCTCTGTGGGGAAAAAGTCTGATGACTTACTGGTGCTTGTAGTTTCAACCTTAGAATATATTCCATTTTAAATGTCCTATCACATCTTCCCAGAAGTGCTGGAGCATCAGACCTCTGTTGGACTGCAGTTAAGGTGTGGAATAACTGATGAATCATGACTGTGTATGTTATAAAACATGCTGCTAAGTTCAGTTATGGTAATAATCTCCCTAGTAATGAGACCGCTAAACACTTTGAAGAATACATACGTAGTAGAGTTGTCCAAAGATGTCTTTCATGATCTTCATTCTGAAGTTTTAATTGTAGTAAAATACAGTTGAAATCAATTGGCTATTAAACTGTTGGTTTATTCTTATAAACGTTAGTACAAGCTGTATATGGCATGGTGTGTAGCCTCTATCAGTTGGTAAATTCAGACAATTCCTTGGTAATGATCAGGGTGTGTGAAAGATTGTAATTTCAGTATATCATAGCTACCAACTTGAGAAGTCTTTGACATAGAAAGGAAATTTGTTTCAAGATCTGTTTTACCACATCTGTCTTCTTTACATATGTTTGTAATCATTATGTTTGATTATTTGAGTTGTTTTCTAAGGCTTTTTCCTGTAGTGTCCTGCTACCAGTGCTTTTTCTGCCTTTTAGTGTTTCATATTGTGGTTTCTAAATACTTGGTTTTTACCTTTTGAATTAGATTTTATTATGTGTCACTCTGTAACATTCAAAAATTGGCAAGAACTTTGTCTTAGGTTTTAACTAGTTTGGGTGGGAGCCCCTGGTGGTCTAGTGGTTAAGGACGCGGCACTGTCACCATTGAGGCCTGGGTTCGATTCCTGGTCAGGGACACTCCCCAGGCAGATGGAGCTCGTTAGCCCTGTAAGGCAATCCATCTACGTCCTGAGGACCTCGCTGCCACCGTCCAAGCTCGCTTGGCCCCGGCAGATGAACCTCAGGATTAAAGGGTGGACTCAGTTCCGCACACACTGTGTCTCACCTGAAAAATCCAATGCGCAGGCTGGAAGGTGTAAAGACCTTCCCCGGTTCTTCGTTCGCGAAGACTGGCCATTATTAACTAGTTTGGGTTGTTCTGTCAACTCACTTTGGGTGGAGGGAAACAGAGAGGAGGATGAAAATATATTTTCTTGTTTCAACACTGGAGTGTTTTTTTTTTATTCTGTTTAGGAAGTCTACTGGTTATCTGTAAGGCCTTGGGGAAGTACTTAGAGAGAGAGGGTTTTCAACACCAGAGTCAGCCAGGATACTGAATCTTTAAGAAAGGAACCAGTGTAGATACCATGTACTTTATACCATTATCAGAAAAATAACAAGCAGAGCAAGTCCAGTAGTGGGATGTAAAGTCTGCACAAAGGATGTGACAAGGAGGGTACTTCACTTTTTTTTTTTGTCCTTGAATTTGTTTTGTGACACCTGCACATTTTGCTACTTTGCCCTTCTTCATCCATCATTTGGTTTTTCTAATTTATCTGTAAATGAAGATGTATGCACTGTTTGTGAAGCTATTCCTTTTTGGTTTGGAAGGTAAAAAACCACACAGATAATGTAGTGACACAGCCCTGCCCTTAGTGTTGGTTTTGTGGTTTTATTTCTCCTGGTCCCCTGAGCTGAGCTCAGAATCTGGTGGTCTTCTGTATTCTGTTAATAATTTAATAAATGTCTTCTAGAGTTCATGCATGTTGCTTTTTCTTCTCAGATCATTTTGGTTTTTTTTATGTGTGGCTGACTGAAATATGTCCATTGTCATTCAATGGGACATGGTTAGTTTTGCACAGTTTCTGTAAAGTTTTGCATTCATCTCTCTCTCCCCTGTCCATGAGGCTCTCAGTGGGACTTAGGCTAATGGGAAAATATTGAGACAAATACATGATGGTCTTGATATTTTTTGCTGGCTTGTATAACTGCAGTTATCTATCCTGTTGCAGTTATACAAAACTTTTGTGCTTGTGATCTTGTGATTGTGCTTTAGCAACTGACTCTTCACTGTATCCAAACATGGGGACTCTAGAAGTTGGTCTCAGCCGAGTGTTATCTCAGTGGATTGATTGGTCATGGCCTGGTGTAGGGCTGTTACAGTCAAGGATCAGTCCTTGAGATGATCTTTTACTCTGAAGGTGAATGAGCAGGAATTGAGAACACTGCTGTAACACTATTTTTGTTGTAGGCTTTAAGGATGGTCTTTTAAGTTTATTTCCAAAATACTTTGGATTTTTATAAACCAGTTCAAGATAGAGCAGTGTCTCTGCAATTCTTGATCTTGTTCATGTGATGAGTTAGTCATTCAGAGTGCCTTACTGTACATGAAAAATTACCATGGAGACAGAACCTGTCCGCACCCCACTCCCTCCCCTCCTTCTCCCTGCCAAGTTTTTGTTTCAACGGAATTCTTCCCAGATGGTATTTTATGCACTGGTAATCCTGACACTAATAATTCATGTAGTTTTGCACATAGAATTTGGAACAGTTTTTTTTAAACTATTACTGGGATCCGAAGTGGTCTTATGAGTTTGATGTGAATGCTTTCTGATGAGTCTGAAATTTAAACTTCATCTGAACAACAGTTTTCATGAGTCCATTCCATTATGTACTTTCTTGGCCTGGTGCTATTGAAAGATCTTTGAAGCTAAGCAATAAAAGGACCTTTATGTGAGGTGAGGTGAGGTGAGGTGTTAATTTGCCAGCTGCCCATTTCAGGAAGGTATCTTTGAGTGGGATTAATATAGAAAGGTAGTTCAGAAGCTTTAACTGTTAAATTAAAACAAAAGCTCCCCTGCCACTCCCCCCCAGTACAATCACCACACATTATTGTCACCATTAAATATACAAAAATAATTGTCAAGCAGTGAATCTGAATACATTACCATTCAGAAGTTGTCAGAGTAGTGTGCCCTTACAGTTTACAATACTGCATACCATACATAGTGTTCTACTTTAACAGCAGCAAACCATTTTTTTCTTTGAAGTTCAGATATATGAAAAATTACAAAAAGGCTTAATTTTACTAATCGGTGCATAAAGTAATTGAGGTGCATAAATATCTTAAGGAAAAAATAGAGTCAAAGATTATGGTGAGTTGGAAGGAATCCACAAGGATCATCAAGTCCAACTCCTGACCTTGCCTAGGATAGTCTCAAAAACCAGACCATGTGTCTGAATGCATTGCCCAAATGCTTCTTGAACTCTGTCAGGCTTGGTGCTGTGACCAGTCCCTGGGTAGCCTGTTCCAGTGCCCAACCACTCTCTAGGGGAAGAACATTTTCCTCACGTCCAGCCTAAACCTCCCCTGACACAACTTCAGGCCATTCCCTCAGGTCCTGTCACTGGTCACCACAGAGAAGAGATCGGTGCCTACACATCCTCTTCCCCTCCTGAGGAAGCTGTGGACTGCCATGAGGTCTCCCCTCAGTCTCCTCTTCTCCCGGCTGAACACACCAAGTGACCTCAGCCACTCCTCATACGGCTTTCCCTCAAGGCCCTTCACCATCTTCATTGCCCTCCTTTGGGCACTCTAAGAACTTAATATCTTTCTTATTTTGTGATGCTCCAAACTGCCCACAATATTCAAGGTGAGGCTGCCCCAGTGCAGAGCAGAGTGGGACAGTCCCCTCCCTTGACTGGTTGGTGATGCTTTGCCTGATGTCCCCAGGACACGGTTGGCCCTCCTGGCTGCCAGGGCACTGCTGACTCAGATTCAACTTGCCATTGACCAGGACCTCCAGGTCCCTTTCTGTGGGGCTGCTCTCCAGGATACATTTCTCAGAGTGTACATATATCCAGGATTGCCCCATCCCAATTGCAGAATCTGGAATTTGTTAAACTTGAAGGAATTAGTGGTTGCCCTGCCCTCCAATTTGTGTTGATATCTCTGCAGGGCCTTCCTGCCATTGAGGGAGTCAGCAGCTCCTCCAGATTTGGCAAACTTGCATAGTTTACCTGTTAGGAGATAAATATTTTGTCAGATGGCTAAAAATTCCATGGCATTCACCAATATGCTGGCTAATTACTCCTTTCCATGCTTCTGTAGGGATATTTTAGTGCAGGTTTAAGAAAAAGGCTTTTCTTAACAGATTGTTCTTTTAAAGTCTTGAAAGAAAATAATTGGGTTGTGGATTGTGTGACATGATTCAGTGCTTCTGGGATGCTTTCCTGAAGCTCCATATTCTGAACATCCAGAATCAGGACTATGGGATCGCCAGTATTATTTCTTTCCCAGTCCCTAAAGCCCATACAAGGAAAACAAAGCTCAGCTAAAGTCTTAGATAAAGTCTGGCTTGGCCCTCAAATAAATCTTCAGGAGTAAGTTGGAGGTATTTAGCCAGCTATTTCAAGGCATTTGTTATTGTGTCTTACAAGCTGAATATAGTCTGCTGCAATGGGTGTTTCTTTTTGTGCTTTTATAAAAATCACACTTCCTAGTTGTTGATGCTTGGTGGTTTTTTCATGTCAAACCTAAGTGTACCTAAAATGCCACTATCAAGCATTCCTGTGAGATGTTTTCCTACAGAAAGAGAAAGCATTTCTGGTGTTTCTAAAGGCACTCCTGTTCACCAAGCAGTAATTGATTCAATGCAGTTCTCTGATAAGCCTCCTACTTGAAAGGCTATGAGCTGGCCTGATTTGGTCTGTGGTGGCTCCTAGGAAGCAATATCATTACCTCTTTCTAGATTTTCAGAAAGCATACTTGCTGTGACGGATTAGGATGATAAAACCATTTCAGTGTGCTTGTTAGCTTGCAGTGCTGGGCCAGGTGCAATTGGATAGCTGAGCACTTTCATGAAGCCAAATCTGGCCTAATAAAGGAATGTCCATTACCACTTCTCATGTACAAATTAAAC